TACGAAAGGTATGAAGAAGATCCCTTTTCGGAACTAACAATTGAAACTGGAGAACGTATTTTGAAGGATATAGCCGAAGAACGTAAAAAAGAATGGATGACATTAATTAAGGATCTAGATATGGTCAAAAACAGCAACAAAGCCTGGAAACTAATAAAAAGAATGAACAATGAAAAACAACAACCGAAAGAGCATATAAACATAACACCAGACCAAATTGCACACAAATTATTAATGAATGGGAAAACGAAGACAAAAGGGAAGAAAACTAAGCTTAAATTTAAAATGGATATAAAGAATAATACAAGTGACTTCAATAAACCATTCGAGATGGATGAGCTAAATATGGCCATCGGAGTAATGAAAAATAGGAAAGCAGCGGTCATCGACGGAATCATGACAGAACAGATCAAGCAACTAGGCCCCAAAGCCAAGGAATGGCTACTAAACATGTTCAATAACTGTATCAAAACCGATAGTATCCCAACAGAATGGCTCAAATCACATGTTGTGGCATTATTGAAGCCTGGAAAAGCCCCTACAGATGCAAGTAACTTTAGACCCGTGTCACTATTATGTCATACATATAAAATGTTTGAGAGAATGGTACTGAATAGAATAAAAGACAAGATAGACGGGAAACTAATCAAGCAACAAGCTGGCTTTAGGGCTGGTAAGTCATGCACGGGGCAAATACTTAACCTTGTTGAAGAAATAGAGAAAGGCTATGAGAATAATGTAATAACAGGTGCAGCTTTTATCGACCTCAGCTCTGCATATGATACGGTTAATCATAGATTACTGCTTAAGAAAATATATGAGCTAACTGAAGATGCGAAATTCACAAAAATTATTAGTCTTTTATTAAGGAATAGACGGTTTTTTGTATCATTGCAGGCCAAAAAGAGCAGATGGAGAAGACAAAATAATGGATTACCCCAAGGAAGTGTTCTATCACCAATTTTATTTAATATTTATACTAATGATCAACCAATTGGGACCCAAACGAAGCACTTTATATACGCTGATGACCTCGCTATTACAACCCAGGGCAAAACATTCGAAGAGGTGGAAGTGAATCTGAATGACACACTTAATACTATGAAGGAATATTATAATGATAATTACCTCAAACCGAATCCAGCAAAAACACAAATTACCGCTTTCCACTTACGAAACAGAGACGCCAAGCGGAAACTGAGAATTAATTGGCAAGACACAGAATTAGAGTATTGCGAAGAACCAACCTACTTAGGCATTAAACTTGACCGAGCCCTGACATATAGAAGTCATTGTGAAAACACAAAAAATAAAATAGGAACAAGAAACTGCTTGCTTCAAAAACTGGTTGGCTCTCAATGGGGCGCAGACCCTCATGTCTTGAGAACGACAGCCTTATCACTATGTTACTCGACGGGTGAATATGCTTGTGCTGCATGGAGAAACTCAGCACATGCTAAAAAGGTAGACGTGGCCCTAAATGTAACTAACAGATTAATTACGGGGTGTCTGAGACCAACACCAGTTCAGAAAGTACAAGTATTATGCGGTATAGCACCCCCTAATATAAGGCGAGAGGTGGCAGCAAGGGTAGAAAAAACAAAACAAGAATCAGACTTAAGACATCCTCTATATGGAGGTAAAACCATGGGGAGCCGGCTCAAATCAAGGAAAAATTTTTTGAAGACAACAATTAGCCTATCACAAACACCTGAAGCAACGAGAATAGACTTATGGAAGGAGGCAATGAAAGAGCATAACTCACTGCTATGGAAGGATCCGAAGGAAAGCTTACCGACCGGAAGTCACTTACCATGGTCGGTATGGAAGACACTGAATAGATTACGAACGGAAACTGGAAGGACAGCGAGTAATATGAAAAAATGGGGATTGAAAGATGATGGGAAATGCGAATGTGGTGGAGAGCAGGATGCGGACCATCTGTTTGTATGCCCACAATTACCGAATAAGTGGAGAAAGGAAGATTTTTTGACGCATAAAATTTCAGACAAAGCAATACAAATTGCGGCTTACTGGGGAGCGAAGGGAATATGAAGACCGATACGACAAGAAGAAGAAGATCAGGTAAATTAGCACGACGTTTAGTCTGTATTCGAATTTACAAACATACTATTTCTAGTTCATTTTTAGGTATTTTTTTTAATATTAATAATTTGTTTTATTTCCAGTCAACTTTATAAATTAAACCCCTGCCTTGCCGTGCACGTACATTCAACGGTATCAGTAACCTAGTCCAGCAATCCAGCAAGATGATGAAACAAATGTTGATTTTGGTAGCAGTGATGTATTTCTTGGGCATGATTGGATCGGCGTACGGAGATTTTTATTGTCCAGGAGGTTGCTGGTGGTACAGGTCTGATGCAATCACACATTGTTCTTCTCCATCAGAAACAAATGAGTGCGGTGGGTTTGATTTTTTCGGCTTTTGTCGATGTTGGTGTTGTTAGACTCGTCACTTGCTCGATTGACTCATAAAATATAATATGCAAGCAACATTATAATGTTGAGATGCGTACAATTTTATTTTCTCGAATTCGGTAACAATATAATAATTATTAATATAAAATGCACATATTTGATTTACGGATAACGGTTATAATAATGAATTTTGTTATTTTACGAGTCATATTGTTTTCTATGGTACATTCACAACTCAATTTGTCTGCAGAAGCATTATAATATAATAGATATTTGGAAATACCTAAATTAATACTAATATCTTATAGACTTATCTTATTCTCCTAGCGTGTATTAAAAAGCATGTGCCTATATATTTCATTCGTGATATTGTACCTACAAAAAAAAAATGACATACATTGTATTATAATTTATAACTAACCAATTATTTTTGTTGTACTAAAAAATAAAACAATGTAAAACTATTAACCACATTTGACAATGTAAACTTTGTTGTTAAACACAAAAGATATACCTAATTGCTGAGTTATCAAACATAATACGTCTAATGACTATCCGTATCAATTAATGTTTTACATTTTATTCTTTTGAAATTAATAATCTGTAAAAAAAATGTAACCACAGTATACTTACAATATTTTTCATTATGTGCATACAATTATTCAAATTGTTAAATATAATTTTAAAATATTGACATGCGATTTTGAATTTACAGAAATCCTGTTTTTTACATTTGATTCCATACTTACTCATTTTCAATGTCTTATGTCATAGTCGTAGTTAAGTAGGTATATAATACTGGATGAGGAAATCTATTCTGTTTATAGCTTATGAACCTTGTTCAATACACCATGTTTCTGCTGTGTCAAAATTATTATTTTTTTTATAATGAACTCATGCGTACACATAGATAAATATTGTTTATTTATTTTTACGAAATTAATTAGATTTACAATATTGTAGATATAGTACCAATGCACTATTGCACTATTGCATAATAATATTATGTTGACTGTATTCTAACTTATTAATATACTTATAGATACAGTATAAGAAAAATTACCACTATATTATACTGGCTATGCAAATAATAATGGGCACCAACTAAACATTACTAGCAGCTGTTTCCTGTTAACTCACAAAGTTTCATTGATTGCGACATAATAGACGACGATTCAGTATACCTACTAGGTAATAAATTCGTAAATCGTTTTAGATATAACTTCTGCGAATTAAAATCACACCTCAGCTTTAATTGAAAACGAAATCAAAAAATCAAAAACTGCATTTAACAGGTCTCGCCAACCTATAAGATAGAAAAAACATTTTAAAAATTTAAAAGATACGCCATTTACATGAATTTATTGTAAATTGAGTTCGGAAGATTGCCAGGTGATCCTTCAACTTGAAAACTCAAGTCACATTATAAAGGACTCTTAAAAAAGGATTTTCCATCCCTTTCCTAGTTAAAACAAATATTTTTGAAATTTTTAAGCTATTGCATATCTTTTGTCGCGGGGCTAAAAAAATATTTTTGAAACACCGGGAATTCCTTTTTAAAATATATGTGGTATTAAAACTTTGTTTTTTTTACTATGATATTCGTAATATACAGCGATAAATATATTTTACAATTTGATACCTATCATCTATACCTAACACAAATCAAATTTTTTTTTTTTTATCACATTAATTAATATATATAAATAAATAAAATAAATTAATGACGTCTTCATTATAGTGTTATTACGAGTGACCGGAAAAATGCCAACAAGATCAATCCATTTAGCCAGTTCTAATAATAAGAATATATTATACGTATTATTGGTCTTATAATAACTCGCTCCACTCAGAATCTAAAATTGACTTCTGTCATACTGTTGCTTACTTGCTTAGGACTTAAACCTCATTAAATAGCACTCAAATAATTACTAAATAAATGTAATTGTTTTATTATTAAATTTTCATACATTGAAATGTGTGCATTTAAGTTATAATTATCTCAACATTTTCAAATATTTGTTGAGAAGTACGAATATAAGATATATTTAAGATTTTTACTCAGGTTACAAGTTTTAACAGCTTAAAAATATTTCTATTCGACACGTCATGTAACTGTGAAAATTAACTGATATATTTACACTTTAAAGTTGGAATATATACTGTTGACTATATCGGTACAGAAATGTACAATAATTATTGTGAAATGAGTACCTATAGTAATATAGCCGGCAATTATTATTATTTATTAGTTTTTACTATTTAACAGTTTTAAACCACGATCGGTTCAAGATCAGCGTTAGCTATCCGAGCTCGGACCACCACCGGTCAGTGGCCGGTGCCGTCCGATTGTCAGCTGCGGTGGCAGTCGGAAGGAACACCACCGCCGCCGCCACCTACTGTTGACGTCGTCACCGAGCGGAGACCATCACCACCATCCCTGGCGAGCGAACAGCGTTCTGTTCCGTCACGTTAGTCAAAGAACAACTTTCGCCGTCACCGTCGTACGACGATTCAACTGGTGGTGGCTGCGGCGGAGGTCCAAGTTTGCGTCGAGAACGATGGGGAACATCAAGGCCCGGGTGAAGCGGTTCCGGATGGTGACCGAGGCAGCCAGGACGCTGGGCATAACATTCCGCAACCCACCGTGTGCTGGCTGCCTTTTTTCACCGTGTACCTGGTACGTGCTTTCTGCCCCACGTGCACACAACCCACCATGTTCTCCGTCATGTTCTTTCTGGGCTACTGCAACGGTGCCGCATCAACCCGATGATCTACGCGCTGTTCAGCAAGGACTTTCGTTCAAGCGGATCATATGCCCGCAGTGCTGTTGGGAATCCACCGACGTTTTGAAGGCCACCGCAAGGGGTCGGACGGTTCCCAACTGGGCGCCGGTGGCCACGGCGGCGAGTCGCCCCGGAACAGGTACATCGTGACGAGTGCAAATGCCGGGGACGAGGTTTTCCGGCTAGTGCATGCGCCTGTTCCGGGAACATCAAGATTCCCAGGTGCAGAGGTCCCGGATGGAGACCAAGGCGGCCAAGACGCCGGGCATAACTGCAGTCGGCGTTTTCATCGTGTGCTGGCTACCTTTCTTCACCATATACCTGGTTATGGGTTTTTGCCGCACGTATTAGTACAGCGTGTCTTTTCCATATCATAGAAATACTCGTCAGAACATATGTTTCCTTGAGATGTAAAAACACAAATAAAAAATGGTCATAGGGGGATCTATCCCCCCCCCCGTAATTACGTGGCCGCAACTATAATCAAATCTGTGTTAGAAAACTCGTGGCTATTTTGGAGGGACGTCTTTCTTTCAGTTCTTCGTGGTCAATGTAGCAAACGGTCAGAACATCCCCCTATAATTTATCAGGATTTATCATGGTCATATCTAACGGTCTTAAGACGTAACCGGTCTCATAGGCGGAAATCCACTAACATTTCGGGGGGCCTAACATTATTAACATAAATATGAGTGGGGGGGTGCTTCGATCCCACACACCTATTAAAGGAGGGGCTTGACGGAATTTTGAATGAGCTAAGCCCCCCCCCCCCGATCACCGCCTATGACCGGTCGTGTCTTTTATCGTATTATTACTAATATTACACTTGAAAATAGGTACTCAACATGTACGTATAGTAAAACTTAGTCAGTAAAATCTCGTTTCTTTGATTAATTATTTATAATCAAATAATCCATATTATTCTATAGGTGCTGCCGTGTCGTTGATAAAAACAATATACTGCAAAACTTCAATAATATTAAGGTCATCGTTAAAAAAAATAACCGGCGCAAGTATAGGTTATGTTCATTTATTAATATTAATCACTTTCGGAATACAAAGATAATATTACAATAAATTAGTTGAATTTAACTTATCTCATTTATTAAAAATGAGAATTGATTGGATTTAAATTAATTTATAGTGACTACTATAAATAGTATAGGTCTAACAGATATAATATGATTGAAAGGAAAATCGAATTATAAAAACGTATTCATTAATATCAATAATGCAAGAAATTTGGTAAAAATAAACAATAGGATAAGATTTTTTAAGAGAATAATTCACAAATGCTAACTAAATACAAGCAGATAATTGATTTGACGTAATTTGTACCCATTGTTTGTTTGACTTTGATAATACGACTGCGCCATTGTTTAATTTTGTCCATAAAGTCACGCCTATAGTTATTTTAATGTCGATAAATTTACGTTAATTAATATTTCGCACAAGACTTTAAATAATTTAATATTTAATTAGGGGTAAGAAAATATTTTATACAAAAAAAAAAAAAAAACGTTTAGTGAATTCTATACCCAGAGTTCAAGTGAACAGTGATAGTTTATGTAGGTATATTGAATATTATAATACATATTTCAGCTTTTTCAAAATATTTCCATTTATTGTACCGTATACAATAGAACCCATAAAAGCACGCATGAATAAACAAACAAATAAAAACAATATTAATAGTTTTTTTTTTTGTTTTACTTAGTTAAAAATTTGAAAAAGGAATTAGACTGTATAAATCACATTTAACGTAGCCCAGATTGTAAGTTTGACCTAAGACTTGATTTATAGCAATTCACAGCAACAAAAAACTGGGTGTATTGTGTAAATATTCTTTGAACAGTTCGAATTAAATAGGGTATGTTAATTCTATATTACTGTCACCCATTAAAATGGACCGATTTAAATCGCCGTACCTATTGTTTCCGGATTTTTCTTTTTTTCTCTCGTACTAAAACTACGATAAATTATTATCAAATGGCGAAAAAACATATCATATATATATTACAGACAACGCGTTGATAGACGAGACCGCATAAACTCAATGAATTAACAAATTTTCAAATTTGACGCCCGCGGCCGAGGTATCGAGCCATCGTCGGCTGCGTCGAAGCCGACGCCTTAATCCACTGGGCCACTTCGTCCCCAATATTATACAGGGTTATTCAAAATGATTCATCCGATTTAAAATGGCTATATAAAGATCGGACGCCAAGTGATTATTTCTTTTGGGGGTATGTTAAAGGCACTGTGTACATACCACCACTGCCATCAAATCTAGTTGAATTGAAAAATCGAATAACAATAACAGCCGTGTAGTCTATGTTGCAAAAAGTATGGTATGAATCTGACTACCGACTAGATGTTATTCGTGCAACCAAAGGAGCTCACATAGAACATTTATAGATACTGTTAATTAATATTTTTCTTTTATTTAATGTATAACATATTGTTCTAAACCTAAAAAATAAAATAATATAAGCACTTTAAATCGGATGAATCATTTTGAATAACCCTGTATAATATTGTTCACAACAATATATGAAAATATCCGATTGATCGACAAGTGACAACGTAGGTACTACCTATACATTTTAATATTATATTATACTGCATACTAGGGTAATTATTATGATAACATTAACGTTAAGGCTTCTCGATCAGTTAAGAAAGTATTAAGCTATATTATGTAATTATGAGCTGATTATAAAAATAGGATATAACTATGACCAATATCTCAAACATAGGCATAACAGTTATAATGACTCGTGTATCACGAGACTTGTGTCGTACAGAACAATGCAATATGTACAACAATAACCCACACAACAGAAGTCCTATAAGGTAGACCTTACGCACCACAAAAAAATAATAAAAAATTTGATTTTTAAAATCAGGTTTTTGCAAAAAAATTATTAGAAGTGAAAATAACAAAATTAAGACGATTATCGGTGTCATTGCATCCGATCGGTCATCATGCCGTACTTGTATATTTTTGGCCAGTAATAAACTCCTTATAACTTGTAAAATATCGGTACCCCTTGAACAATATTATTATTAGAATGTCTTTATTGTAATGTTATTCTCACTTTGTTTACCCTGTTACTTATATTATGTAATATTATATTATAAATCTTATAATACATAAATAAATGTGTGAATAGAGTAATTTATTATTGATGATAAATAGAAAAATTCAGTCAGTATTTATAGTTAGTTATAGGGACTTACTAATCTTATCCATACGGTATTACATCTGAGAATAAAACTCTTTTCAGGCATAACCAATAGGCAAACATGAATGACTAGATGTCTTCTTAGTGTACTACACATATTTTAAGACGGGTTTCAAGGAAAAAATACGTAACGTAATACAATATATTTTGTTATAAAGTACCTGTTGTTATGAATATAATGTTGTTTTTGACGTATTTTATGAACAAACTACATTCCTTTCATATTATAACAAGCAATTCCTTTAAACTGTTGAAAAAATTATTATTTTTTTTTTATACATGAAATGTTATGTTCTACCTAATATTGACATTTTACAAACTACGAACAATTCAATTAGTTATTAGATTAGACCATGTAAGGTCGAATTTTATAGTTATAATGTTTTTCTCTAATTGTTTTAATTCTTTTTATTCTATACTGAAGACGATTTTTTTAAAACATAAGTAGGTACTCGAAAAAAAGTTCATATAGGTATCCCCCTATAGAATGTCTTCTTAGTTTACTACGCACATTTTGTAACTTTATTATATATTTTCAATTTATATCAATGACCTATTTGAACTTAGTTTAGCAGGAAAAGTCTTATCTTATGCAAATCATTTTTAAGGAAGAAGAATTCATAGTTGTAACTTGTAAGTAAGTATCTGAATTCAAATTATAAAGAAAAAATAGAAGTGAATTTGAAACGTATTAAAGTGTACTTTTGAAAATTATCACAATCAATGATAATTATTAAATTAACTAGGTAACAGTTAAAAAGTTAATCGGAAGAAATAGTAGTGGTTAGTTTAACTATCAGTTAAACCTGATAGTTAACTTAACTGGAGTTCCAAAAACAGTTTAACTGGGACAACGTATTAACCGGCAGTTAAATTCTACTAACTGCCAGTTAAAGTCAATTGAAAAACCAGGCCTAAGTGTAGTATACATTTTCCGATGATAGCACTTCGCCCTCGACTTTACTCGCCGTTCCTCGTCAACGGTGTTATTCGTCCCTAGCACCTATCCACTACGTAGCCTACATATTAAATTTTATATATCACAGAAAATACTCACGCACGCGAATGTGACGAGTAACGACGAGCAAAGACGGGGACGAGGTACTAGGATCTTAAAATAAATACTAGGTACACTCAAGGTAATATTTTGTAACTTTATTATTTTCAATTTATATCGATGACCTATTTGAACTTAGTTTAGCAGGAAAAGTCTTATCTTATGCATATCTTATTTTAAGGAAAAATATTCCACTGATCTTGTTTTGGCACCAAAGCATGATTTTATTAAAATTAAAACTTGATTTTCCGCCTGTTGCTCGTGATCTGCCAGCGATCCAGAAGACGGGGGTTTTTAAATAAATGGTCGAAGAACATTTTTGTCAGCGAATAAAACAAAAGTTCTATTTAAATTTCTATTTAAATCGAAACGAAACTATAAAATTGTACAATTGTGTGTGTGGGTGTGTAAGTGGCTGAGTGAAGGCGCCTCTGATCTCAATAACGGCTATGCGCTACATCTGTATTTTGGGCTCCCTTATAATATAGTTATATATTATCACGTGGTGGAAAGTTGTTGTTTTCGCAAATGACGTAACTATCTGGCTCCGTGGCTTCTAACGCTATTTTATTATTTAGAAGGTCAATTTAGAAGGTCATTATATAAAATCGACCACAAATGATATGTTAATATATTTCATATATCCGTTATGGTTGATTAAATAATTCATAGAGTAGAGCTCTCAGCTCGGGGCCCAAGACAGGCCAATTCGCTTTATTGCAATACGAACAGAACTGTACAGTAGCTATATACACACTGAGTATCAGTGAAAATTGCACGATTATTTTTTTATAAGTAATTAAAGGTGAAGTACTGACAGAATTCATCAAAATTATGAAAGTTTGCAAATTATTTTGTAGTTAAAAATTTGTAATAGCTTCAATTTGTATAGCTAAGGATTGAAAATTTAAAACAAGGACAAAATTAGACATTCCGACAATAAGAATATAGATTTTAGTTATTTATTTGTAATTTAAAAATATTATTCGTGGGTACTTGTAACTTTTAAAGTATGATATTATATTTTATACAAGCAATGCATTTTTTCGACACAAATTAATTTAACCGATTGTGGTTCTAATGTCAATATCAATAAAATAAATTACTTTGATAACTATAATATCATAAAAATATATATCTAATTAGTAATATCATAAGCTGACGACAGTCTTCGCTCAGAATCGTTTTTCGTGTACAATAACTAATTTTATATCATTTAATTCAAATTTAACACATCCATTAGAGCGACCACACTAGACACCTACTGGACAGTAGATCAAAACCTACTTGCCCACCTTTGTTTACTATTGTTTTTTGTATAATACTGTAATAATTTTTGTTTACCTGCACTTTATTATCTCTATATAGAATTAGGTAACCACTTATTATTAGCTTAAAGTCAGTTAAAAAGAAGGGTGGTTTTACCAACCAACATTACATCCATATGCATACTAATATAGAAAGCTGTAGACTTAGTTTTTTTTTATGTTTGAACGCGCTAATCTCAGGAACTACTGGTTCGAATTGAAAATTTATTTTTTTGTTGGACAGTCGATTCACCGAGGAAGGCTATATTAAAACATCACGCTACGAAAAAGTCTGGGGAAGGTCGACATTTTTGTTTATAAATGGTTGCTCTATAGGTTATAGGAGAAATGATTAATAGAAATAGTTTTCATTTATTATTGGTTGCCATTGGTTAATCAGACAGATCAGGTACAATCATGCATCAAATCGAATTTCAGCACATTGCCTAATAGATAAGTTGCACTTACCGCAGTGAGTTACACCCAAAAGGAGTTCAACAATCACAATTTTTTTAAGGGTTGTCATTTTCTTCGGGACTCGAAGTGCGGAGGACCAACTACTAGTATACATAATATGAACTACTTTATAATTTGAATTGAGTTGTAATTACTATTATTATTATTATTATAATATATTTATATAATCATAATAATTTTCAGTGTAAAAAATAACTGACGCCCCCCAAAAAATCAAGTCTTAGGTCAAACTTACAATCTGGGCTACGTTAAATGTGATTTATACAGTCTAATTCCTTTTTCAAATTTTTAACTAAGTAAAAACAAAAAAAAAAAAAGGTGGGCAAGTGGGTGTCGCTCTGCTGTACAGTAGGTTACAAGTGGGTCACTGTATACTGGATGATATTAAATTTGAATTCAACGATATAATATCATTGTATAAGAAAAACGATTCTGAGCGAAGACGGTATGTCAGTCTAGGTTTAAGACAAATTATATACATATCTATGATATTAAACAAAAAATTGACTTACAATAGGTACCTATAATAAATGCCAAATTAATCATATCACAATATCCATTAGGTACTTATAACGCGTTATACATTAACAAAAACCGTGATACTATCATAGATATATAATAGTACACTTTAGAAGTTTCAAGTACCCACGAATAATATTATTCAATCACAACAAAATAACTAAAATAGTTATTCTAGGTTTTTTAATATGTAATTTCATCCAAATTTGAATTTAAAATGTCTGTAAAAAATAACTGTGTTCATATATTTTTTAGATTTTTTGGTTACCTATTTATTACATTATTTAACCTTTGTTTTAAATTAGCAATCCTTAGCTATAAAAACTGTACATTTTATAATTCATTAATTACAATGAATGATAATTTTTATAATACATTATTTATTTAGTTCAAAAGAGATTATAACATTTCCGCTTACGAGCATGTTTTGATGAGCATAATGTGCCAAGGGGCAAGGACATCGAACTATTGCGTACTCAAAGTGGGTTTTTTTTTCAAACAACAATAAAAAATTAAACACGTAAATGCCCCCCACCTTATCCACGACATGTACAATATAAATAGAAGCTATCCCCAATCAGAACTTCAGAGATTGAGTATCTCATCGTCAATCGCACAAGCTCAGTCTTTATAAGGTAAATTAGTACGACGTGTAGTCTGTATTCGAATTTACAAACATACTATTTCTAGTTCATTTTTAGGTATTTTTTTTTAATATTAATAATTTGTTTTATTTCCAGTCAACTTTATAAATTAAACCCCTGCCTTGCCGTGCACGTACATTCAACGGTATCAGTAACCTAGTCCAACATTCCAGCAAGATGATGAAACAACTGTTGATTCTGGTAGCAGTGGTGTATTTCTTGGGCATGATTGGATTGGCGTACAGATTGGATTGTCCAGAAAATTGCACGTACGTCAAGTCTGAAGCAGTCAAAAATTGTTCTTCTCCAACAATAACCTTGTGCGATGGGTACGATGATTCTGACTTTGGGCGCATTTGTACATGTTGGTGTTGTTAGACTCGTCACTTCCTTGATTGACTCCTTAAATATAATATGCAAGCAACTTTATAATGTTAAGATGCGTACAATTTTATTTTTTCGAATTCGGTAACAATAATATATATTAATATATTATGCACATGTTTGATTTACGGATAACAGTTATAATAATTAATTTTGTTATTTTACGAGTCATATTGTTTTCTATGGTACATTCACAACTCAATTTGCCTGCAGAAACATTATAGTATAATAGATATTTGGAAATACCTAAATTAATTGCTGTCTATACGGTGCTAGACTTATCTTATTCTCCTAGCGTGTATTAAAAAGCATGTATATTTCATTCGTGATATTGTATCTACAAAAAAAAAATGACATACATTTTATTATAATTTATAACTAACCAATTATTTTTGTTGTACTAAAAAATAAAACAATGTAAAACTATTAACCACATTTGACAATGTAAACTTTGTTGTTAAACACAAAAGATATACCTAATTGCTGAGTTATCAAACATAATACGTCTAATGACTATCCGTAACAATTAATGTTTTATATTTTATTCTTTTGAAATTAATAATCTGTAAGAAAATGTAACCACAGAATACTTACAAAATTTTTCATTATGTGCATACAATTATTTAAATTGTTAAATATAATTTTAAAATATTGACATGCGATTTTGAATTTACAGAAATCCTGTTTTTTACATTTGATTCCATACTTACTCATTTTCAATGTCTTATGTCATAGTCGTAATTAAGTAGGTATATAATACTGGATCGAGAAATCTATTTTGTTTATAGCTTATGAACCTTGTTCAATACACCATGTTTCTGCTGTGTCAAAAATATTATTATTTTTTAATAAACTCATGTACACATAGATAAATATTGTTTATTTATTTTTACGAAATTAATTAGATTTACAATATTGTAGATATAGTACCGATGCACTATTGCACTATTGCATAATAATATTATGTTGACTGTATAATAATTTATTAATATACTTATAGATACAGTATAAGAAAAATTACCACTATATTATACTGGCTATGCAAATAATAATGGGCACCAACTGAAAATTACTGGCAGCTGTTTCCTGTTATCTTACAAAATTTCATTGATTGCGACATAATAGACGACGATTCAGTATACCAATAGCTAATAAATCAGTTAAGAAAGTATAAAGCTATATTATGTAATTATGAGCTGATTATAAAAATAGGTTATAACTATGACCAACATAGGCATAACAGTTATAATGACTCGTGTATCACGAGACTTGTGTCGTACAGAACAATGCAATATGTACAACAATAACCCACACAACAGCAGTCCTATAAGGTAGACCTTACGCACCACAAAAAAATAATAAAAAAATTTGATTTTTAAAATCAGTTATTTGCAAAAAATTATTAGAAGTGAAAATAACAAAATTAAGACGATTATCGGTGTCATTGTATCCGATCGGTCATCATGCCGTACTTGTATATTTGTGGCCAGTAATAAACTCCTTATAACTTGTAAAATATCGGTACCCCTTAAACAATATTATTAGAATGTCTTTATTGTAATGTTATTATCATTTTGTTTACGCTGTTACTTATATTATGTAATATTATATTATAAATCTTATAATACATACATAAATGTGTGAATAGAGTAATTTATTATTGATGATAATTAGAAAAATGCAGTCAGTATTTATAGTTACTTATAGGGACTTACTAATTTTATCCATACGGTATTACATCTGAGAATAAAACTCTTTTCAGGCATAACCAATAGGCAAACACTAATGACCTGATGTCTTCTTAGTGTACTACACATATTTTAAGACGGGTTTCAAGGAAAAAATACGTAAAGTAATACAATATATTCTGTTATAAAGTACCTGTTGTTATGAATATAATGTTGTTTTTGACGTATTTTATGAACAAACTACATTCCTTTCATATTATAACAAGCAATTCCTTTAAACTGTTGAAAAAATTATTATTTTTTTTTTATACATGAAATGTTATGTTCTACCTAATATTGACATTTTACGAACTACGAACAATTCAATTAGTTATTAGATTAGACCATGTAAGGTCGAATTTTATAGTTATAATGTTTTTCTCTAATTTTTTTAATTCTTTTTATTCTACACTGAATACGATTTTTTTAAAACATAAGTACTCGAAAAAAAAGTTCATATAGGTATTCCCCTATAGAATGGATGTTGAATCAATAAGATGTATACTTTGAAGAGGCATTTTTATGATTCGATTTTGGTTTTTTCGTTGTTCATTTGTTTACATAGGTAATTATGTAATTAACTAAAATCATTTTATGGAAATCATATTCTAAAAAACCTATTTTATATCAAGAAAAAACTTATTTACCTCACTAATTTTATAAAAGAAAACTTTATTTTATATTTTTTAGTAACCGACATTAAAAATAAATTTTAAACTTTAACCAAATACCTTTACAGACCTTTTAGGCATAAAGTATGCTTTTAAAATGAAAACATATTTGTTTTCTAAACTTTTTATGTTGTAAAACTTAGTTGGAACACGATTTCCTAATTATTTAGGCCTTACATTATATGTAGGCATAGGTTAAGAAATAAAAAATGTAAAACATGTTAAGGTATATATTTTTTTAAATTTTATATTATTAATATTAATATTGAAAAAAATAGCTAGTTATATTAGTATCTAACGACAATAGATTAAAATTGAATATTGTCTGCAAAAGGGAGAAATTAAGGTTACCTATGGTAAGTTTTAAATTAAACTTGTGTAATTTTCCTATTATAATTATTATTGTTCTTATTTTTTAGTATATTGTTAACATTATCATTTATGTATATTTTTCTTATCACTAACGTTAATTCTTGTTATATCGTTATTGCAATATGTAAAAAGCCGTTTGGCGTTTATACAAATAAATAAATAAAAAAAAAAAATAAACAAAAGTGCATAAAGTTGACGTTAGTCGTTTGAACTATTTAAATTTTAAGTAAGTACTTTTTTTAGATCCATTTACTTAATATTTCGAATATAGTTTAAAAAAACAACAACAACATTGTAATCGTTGTTATAGGTATATTATACTTGATTGTCAGTTAATTATTGCACGCTAGTAAATTATTATATTCAGGGGTTAAAGGGGGGGGGCGCAAGAGGACTCAGCCCCCCTACATCTGATGGCTGTTAAACAGCGTCCCCTTTAAACAATTAGAATTTTATACATTAGACATTATACATAAAATTATATATAACGCTTAAAACTATATATGGAGACATTTGTCCCCTCTGGATTTTTTTCCCACTTTAAACCCTGATTGTATTCTATTATATTTTTTTAAATTTATAAGAATGTATTTGGTTTATGTTATTGAAACAAACAATTATCTGATGATGAAGATGATGATAATAATATACTTTACTGAGAACTTTTTCGAATTATGGTGCTTTGTTATCTGGTATATTATGTTATATTATTATACTCGTTTGATGTGTCCGCTCGTGACTAGAAATGTCGGAAAATCTGTGAATAAACGTGAAAAAATCCATTTACTAAACTGTAAACAACTGATGAACACATTATTATGTTTTTTTTTATTTTTTAAAAAATGTCTCATGGTCATTGAAAATCACAGAATATGTGACGTGATGACATTGTTGAGTAACATTTAATAGTTTGATGCTAGACATTACCTATATATACCTATATGACATAATATCGTGTTTGTTTTTTTTTTCATCCTCCCGCAGCAGTAAAACAACCGTATTATTATTAAAAAAATAGAATAAAATAGATAGGCGAGTGTTATGAAAATAAAATATATTAAACGACACCGAACGCGTCTTTTGATCGATCGGAACAATAACGCAATTATGATAATTATAAATTCTCGATCGTCGCTAAGATACCAAGTTTCTTGCGTTTTGGCCTTTTCGAACTTTTCAAGCGTGAGCCGATTGCTATCCGCGTAAAAAACGCACAGAATGTGGTCGTAAAAGTTTACAAAAAAAATTTTTAAAAAAAAGTCGTAAAACAATTAACTGTGGCGAGTTGAGTTAAAACTTAACGAAAAAAAAAATGTAACTAGATGAGATTATAGTTAAGATAGACAATAAAATTAACTCAACTCGGTTAAAAAAAAGTTAATTTTTTTCGAGTTATAATATTTTTAAGTCATAAACTGCCCTAGAATTTTGTTAAACACAGACATTTACCAAGACGTTTAACACTGTGTAAAAAATTAGCTTATTATAATATATAATTCGAAAATAAATTACCAAAATCGAAAAAGAGTCAACAAATCAATATTTTCTATTACGACAGTGATAATTAACTATAAAAAGTTAATAGTTAAAACAAATTTTAACTGAATTAGTTAATAAGTTAAAAACAAAAATTTTAATCAAAAAAAAATTAACTTTTTAACTTGACTTTAACTTTTTAACAAGTGTCAAGACCACCTTTGTCATAAAGATATTGTCATCATAGTGGCCTATCAACTATAGGCAATTACTAAAAGTTTACATAAACACTACGAGCGATATCTCGAGAGCTGATGAAAATCAAGCCCGGATAAGGGGGGGGGGGTCCAAGGGGGCCATGGACAACGGGCCTCGATAGTTAGAATTTATTTAGGGGCCTCAGATTTGTCCTTTACTTTTTTCCAGTGTTCGGACTTCTCTAGATAAATTTATCCAGAAGAATATCTAGATAATTATTTGTTCATCTTTTATCTTATATAGATAAATAGTTACAAGGTATCTAAAGGTTCATCTTCGATGATTTTTTTACTAATCTAAATAAATTCATCTAGATACATTTTTTATTGATAACAAACGTGAAATTGTACAAAATTTTTAAATATTTAAACAGATTCTCAAATAAAGTTTGTGGCTTATAAAATATAATGTAATTATTTTTATTTATATCAGTAGTATAATTATGTTCCTAGTGCCCAACTAAAATAT